CCTGGGCTGGGAAATGCAGTATTAGGCTCAGGAGAAATAGGGCGAGCAATAACTGTTGGCTTTAAATTTACTCTAGTCATCGGTCTGATATTGTCGCATTTGGCCGCCATACTTACAAAAACCTGCACGTTTATAAACATACACAAAAATCAAAATTAAAAAAAAAAATGGTGTTTGATGATTTGTAATGCGCTTTTAAACATATAATTAGTAAATACAGATTTCACTTAATAATACCATCTACAAGGATGAAAATAATACAGAGGTTTAAAAGAATTAAAACTTATTTTTTCTAATTAAAATTTAAAAAAATGAAAACAATTCTTATAAAGATTAATTAATATGGAAAATATTCTTTTCTTACGACAATGGTGTCATTAATATATCAATTTTATAAAAATAATTAATGGGTTTACTAATTAAATGATGTCATAGTTTTATTTCATTTTTATTTTACGATTTCGGGGAGATTTTCGGTAAATGATACTTCTTGTTTGATAAGGAAAACTTGATGATTTAAATGCTGCAAGAAGTCCTACTTTTTTGTAGAGAGTGGAACAGTTTATGTTCCTTATTTTCGTTAAGAGTGGAACGGTGCTTACGTTCCTTATTTTCGTTGAGAGTGGAACTGTGTTTACGTTTTTTTATTTTCGTTAAGAGAGGAACTGTGTTTACGTTTCTTTATTTTCGTGAAGAATGGAACTGTGTGTACGTTTCTTTATTTTCGGTAAGAGTGGAACTGTGTTTACGTTTCTTTATTTTCGTTGAGAGTGGAACTGTGTTTATGTTTCTTTATTTTCGTTAAGAGTGGAACTGTGTCTACGTTATTTTTGCAGGGAGTGGAAATGTGTTTACGTCGCTTATTTTCGTCACGAGTTGAACTGTGTTTACATTCCATTTTTTGTTGAGAGTAGAACTGTTTTCGTTTCTTATTTTCGTTGAGGGTGGAACTGTGTTTACGTTTCTTTATTTTCGTTGAAAGGGGAACTTTGTTTACGTTTCTTTATTTTCGTTGAGAGTGGAACTGTGTTTACGTTTCTTTATTTTCTTTGAGAGTGGAACTGTGTTTACGTTTCTTTATTTTCTTTGAGAGTGGAACTGTGTTTACGTTTCTTTGTTTTCGTTGAGGGTAGAACTGTGTTTACGTTTCTTTATTTTGGGGAGAGTGGAACTGTCTTTACGTTTCTTGATTTCCGTTGAGAGTAGAACTGTGTTTCCGTTTTTAAAGGACCGTGTCGGCGATGTTGTATAGAAGTAGATGTTTATGTATTGTAGAAGTAGAAGAATATATGTGGGTACAATTTTTTTTATATGTAAACAAATATATGTATTAATAACAAAAAAGGTTACAATTACATGGACAGATTGCGTGTCGTGAATATTATGTGTGTGCGTTGTGGTGAGTGTTCCCACGTACGTGTATTGTTCTTAGCGTGTTCCCAGCATTTGGGAAACGCTGTATCTGTGAACTTTCACATCTGTGAGTTGTGAAGGCCTGAGTAAAAAGAGATTTATCTTAAGGTGGCGGCACAAAGGACTGAGGGAAAAAGAGGAAGAGGCGAAGGGTCAGCGAGTATTTATAGCCAGGGAAGAGAGACCACTGGTGAAAGGGTTAAGGAGCTGAGGAGGAGCTAACTCCGCAAATATCTCCCGCCTGATTAAAAGTTTTAGGAAACGAAAACTTTTAATATGTAAGAAAAAGTTTAATGAAAGTTTTGAATATTGCCTTTGTGAGCTGAAAAGAAAAGAAGTGTGATTGATATGCGCGGTTCGACGAAATGTGCTTGTCTTGTCGCCAGGGTGCTCGGTGCTGTGTATTTCTCTAGTGAGTCAGAGTCGGGTCACGTCCTGTAAAATACGTCGGTAGTGGTCTGCGTTTGCTATCAAAATTTGTTTTTTTTTACAATGCTCCACGTTGAATTGTCTTTGTCGTCCCGTCAACCTGTTTGCTGTCCTGGTCGTAGTTTTGTTTGAAAAAATGAGGTTGTTTGGTATGCGTGGATAAATTTGGCGCACAAAAAATTAATAGAAACAGCATAGTCGTGAAGTTGAGCTGAATTTCTACCGAATGTCGAATGCATGTTTGAGAGAATTTGCTGGTATTGTCGATGGAACATCGTTCTCGCAAACTCTCGATTTGTTTGAGTCGCGTCATTGCAAAATGAGATAAAGGACGGTGAGTTGCCTTTTAAGATTCGATAGGACTTCTGAAATATGTGCGGTGTGTAGCACAATGCAAGTGGATGTGTTGTCGCCGTAATGAAAGCCTGGATTTGTTATCAACTGACGTCGTGTTGAATTAGATCGCCAAATGTGTGTTTGAGAAGAATCGCCGGAATTTGTTGAAGGGATTGAGAAGATTGAGAGGCTAGCTTAATTGTCAAAAATGTGAGTAATTCTGTGAGTCGAATTTGTATAGGTGATGTTGAATTGCAATGTCATGGCGAGGTTGAAAAATAAAATTTGCTTATTAGTGATTATGTAGTAAATCTTTACAGCAAATTTTATGTGAAAGATGCGTTGAAAATGATTTCCGAAATAGTGAGTCGTCCGAAAAAAAGTTTGAAGCATGGTAAGAAAGCAGGGTGTAGGAAAAATGTATGCGCGCGCTTTTTGAGTTTCAGGATGGAACAAGATGCGAATGCTATGACCAGTAGCATATATTGAAAGACTGCAGAATTTGCAATATTAGTAGCGACGAATAACGTGCATGCAAATCCTCAGTGATGTCGCATCGTATATAATGGAGCAGTGAGTCGTCCAGAGAAAAGTGTACGTTCATTCCAGTGAAACTTGAGTGTTGCTTCCATGTCAGAATGCTATGCGGGAGAAAATACAGTAGAAGTTGTTTGAAAATAAAGGACAGTGAGACGCCTTTAGTGGTTTGGTTCACACTTTATCTATTTCAGTCCAGAAGAAGAGAGTGTTAGTTAGAAAATGGCGTTGCGTTTTCCGTTTGGTAAGCCGTAGGCATGTCTGCCGGGTGAAATTAGGTCAAACATCGCCGAGAGAAAGAAAGGGTCAAGCAAATATAGACCAGTGGGGAAAGAGTTCTAAGGCTGGTCTCATAGTAGTAATTGTGGTTCTTCTAGTGGCGATTAAGGCTTCCGTGATTTCCACGTGTTGAAAATTCTTTTTGTTGCGCAGGAGAAAATTGTTTTGTAGACCTGTTTTAGTGAATTAAAATTGTCATTTTGTACTTTCATCAGTTTGATCACAAATTTTTGTTGCTGTATAAAAGTTCTTTCGTTAATAGTGTACTGTACGGCGTACGTAGGATACAAAAAGTAGTTTTTTCAAAGTTTTTCTCATCTGGCTCTCTTTTTGGGAAGGTGTGTGTATAAGAAATTGTTTGTACATATATATCGTCTTGTGTGTTTAAGCAGGAGTTGAAAGATCAATCGCGTCGGGAAGTCACCATTATGTATGCGATGTTGAGTAGAAGTAGATGTTTATGTATTGTAGAAGTTGAAGAATACATGTGGGTAGAATATGTGTATTAATAACAAGAAAGGTTACAAGTTACATGGACAGTTACATGGACAGAGTGCGTGTGGTGAATATTATGTGTGTGTGTGTGTGTTGTGGAGAGTGTTCGTGGGTACGTGTATTGTACTTAGCGTGTTCCCAGCATTTGGGAAACGCTGTATCTGTGAGCGTTCACATCTGCGAATTGGTATAAGGCCGAAGGCCTGAGTAAAAAGAGATTTACCTTAAGGTGGAGGCCCAAAGGCCTGAGGGAAAAAGAGGAAGAGGCGAAGAGTCAGCGAGTATTTATAGCCAGCGAAGAGAGACCACTGGTGAAAGGGTTAAGGAGCTGAGGAGGAGCTAACTCCGACACGTTCTTTATTTTAGTTGACAGTGCAACTGAGTTCACGTTCCTTTTTCTGTTGAGATTGGAATTGTGTTTACTTTCCTTATTTTTGTTAAGACTGGAACTTTGTTTACTTTCCTTTTTTTGTTGTTGAGAGTGGAACTGTGTGTACGTTGCGCTATTTTCGTTAATAGTGGTACTGTTTACGTTCCTTATTTTCGTTTACAGTACAACTGTGTTTACTTTCCTTACTTTCGTTTAGAGTAGAACTGTGTTTACGTTCCTTTTTTTGTCGAGAGTCTAACCGTGTTTACGTTCCTTATTTTCTTTGAGAGTGGAACTGTGTTTCCGTTCCTGAAGTCGGAAGTCATTAGAAACTGTCGTCAGAGCGTCAACATTTTCAAAGCATAGAAATGTCGCCATATTCGGTGAGAAAGACTCTGAAAGAGCGAGGCTATCAAAGAAGAGTTGCACGATAGAAGCCTTTGGTTTCAAAGGTTAACAGGAACAGGCGTATGGATTGGGCAAGAGAATTCGAGAGCAAATATGAATTTTGGAATTGTGATTTGGTCAGATGAAAGTAAATTCTGCCAATATTCGAATTCGAGATAGGTTTATGTTTGGAGAAATCAGAATGAGACTTGGAACACTGAATGTCTGCAGGCGACCGTGAAACAGAGAGGTTGGAGTAATGGTGTGGGGCGCTGTCTGGTGTGGAGGGATGTCTGAGCTGATTCTTGTTGACGAGCGGTTGAATGGTCCAAAATATTGTCAAATATTAGAGAAAGGACTACTCCCACTATTTGAAACCAATCAGATTGACAAGAATGTCTATCTTTTTCAAGAAGATGGAGCGTCATGACATACGAGCAAAGTGGCAAAGACCTGGAAGGAATCGCAAGGAATCAAGTCACTGCCATGGGACAGCCTAAACTCCTGACATGATTCCAATAGAGCACGTTTGGGAGCACCTAGAGCGAGAGCGTGCAAGCAAAATCACGTCAGTGGCAACCATTAAAGAAAAATTGTTAAAGGAGTGGAAAAATATGAATAAGACGATTGTTGATAACTTGATCAAATCCATGAAAAATCGAAGCACTGAAACTAGCAAATACCAGTTCCAAATACTGTTTGTTGATGTTGAATAGGGCTTATGTAATTAAATTTTGTAATTGGATGTAGGTTAATGTATTTAATTCTTTTAATATCTCTCTATCGCTCTATCTATTTATCTAAGTCTGTTCCTATCTATCTATCTATCTATCTATCTATCTATCTATCTATCTATCTTCTCCTAACTCTCTCTATCTCTCTCTCACTCTCTCTTTCTCTCCAGTAGTGAATTGGATTTAAAAATAATGTTTCCCAGGAGACAAAGGTGTCCACCCATATCTACAATGCTATCATTTAATTTTTTTAACGAATAAATAAAATTTTCAAGACATAGTTATAGAAAAAATATATAATTAAAATTTATATGGCAAATATGTATTTCATTGTAATTATAGGGTACTTGTATTTCACATATTATAGGGTACCTGTATTGTACATATAAATAGATAGCGAGTAGATATCAAATGTAAATACAGAGTATTATAATTTAATTTTTATTTATTTGTTTTTGAATTTTAAGTAATTAGTTGATATTTTTAAATAGGTTAGTGCGTAACTTAAATATTAACAGAGTATTCAAAAGCACAAAAGCGGATTGCATTGAGTCCACTATATTAAGAGCAATCTTTTCTGATCACTCGATGATTGTGCAAATCTGCTAATAATCCCTTCTGAATCCAATTCATCTAACCATTCCTAATCCATGGATAGCGATATCTCTATCTATAAAAGGCAGGATGTGTGTGTGTGTGTGTGTGTGTGTGTGTGTGTGTGTGTAACAAATGCACGGCCGCAATTTTCGACAGATTTGCACCAAAATGTACATGCACACGCTCCTAGTTAGCGGAAAGGCCAAAACCGACTTTGCATTTCCCAACTCCCATCGATAGTGGAAATAATCGATTTTTCATGCTTCTACGGCAGTTTTCATGTAGTTTGCTGCCATTTTCTACTGGCCAGAGTGAGAGCCTATAGCTGGCTGCCACGAATAGGCTGGAAGATTCTATTGGCTAGCGTACTAGCATGCAAAAAAAAAAAAATCGATAGCTGCATTTGTCAAAAGTGGGAAAAATTTAAATCTGCATGGCACTTTAATCCAATTGGCTCATTCGCTTGCTTAAACTCAACGTTGATTCTGATTCCGCAGAACTGGGTTGGGTGTGAAAAAGTATTTGTTGTTAACATTCTTTTTTCATTCGGTTTTTCCAGTTACGAGTCCTTTTTTAAAGCCGATAGTTTTGTGTTCATTTTGTTTAGTTCTTTTTTCGTAACAGATTTAATGTTTAGAATAGAGCTTAGAAAATATTCGCAGTGTGAGATAGGCAAGAAATAAGGCATGTAGCAACAGCAGCACGGCAAAGGGCACTCCTTTAAAGGCAAGGAAGGGCAAAAATATTTTAAGTCAAGTAATAGCGACTGCCGTATGAGTCGTACGATTTTTGAATCAAGCCCGGGCAACGCCGGGTCATGCTGCTAATGTATGATAAAAGATTCTCCTCAGACATCGAATTTCTCAGTCTTGTCTTTATGATCTTTAGATTTGAAAATGTCTTCTCACATTGGACTTGAGTTACTGATAGTGTGCAGATGATTTTTATAAAGTTCTTATTCCTTTTATTACGAAATCAGTGTTCTCGATTTGTTTCTGTATTGCATTTTTAATTTGAGATAGGCGGCATACTCCATCAGGAGCTAACTTGCCATCGGGCAAGCGTACACGCTGACCAGTCCTCCACTGTTTCTCTTTCGCTGTCTCTCTCTCACTCTCTGTGCTTCCTCTCTCTCCTTCTCTTTGTATGTATTAAAATTTTTCGTCTCGTTCTATCTATTCAATCTTTTTCTATCTATCTATCTATCTATCTATCTATCTATCTATCTATCTATCTATCTATCTATCTATCTCAAACTTTTCCTCTCTCTTTATGCATTCAAACTTTTCTCTTTTTCTCGCTCCCTCTCACTCTCTCTTCCACTCTCTCCCTCTCACTCTCTCTTCCAATCTCTCCCTCTCACACAATCTATCTATCTATCTATCTATTTATCTATCTATCTATCTATCTATCTATCTATCTCCGTTTTTTCTCTATCTATCTATCTATCTATCTATCTATCTATCTATCTATCTCCGTTTTTTATCTATCTATCTATCTATCTATCTATCTATCTATCTATCTATCTATCTATCTATCTCCGTCTTTTCCTCATCTATCTATCTATCTATCTATCTATCTATCTATCTATCTATCTATGTCTTTTCCTCATGTATGTATGTATGTATCTATTTATCTGTCTATTTCCGTCTTTTCCTTATCTATCTATCTATCTATCTATCTATCTATCTATCTATCTATCTATCTATGTATTTCCGTATTTTCGTCATGTATGTATGTATGCATGTATGTATGTATCTGTATATCTATCGTGCTTGCTATGTCTTACATAATTAATCTTTCGTTGAATTCATTCAGTAATCATCTCTTTCTTATCTTTTTTTCCTTTAGGTTAAATATATTTACAAATTCAACAATTTTTTTTGGCCCAGATCTTTTGACCTTAACTGTTGTCTTCATATGAAAGAAACTTTGGGCGGAAAATTGATTACGGAATTTTGCTTGATAAAGATTTCATTAAAAAAAAAAGAAAGGCAAGAGAAAGGAGAGACTGATGCTGTTCAGGTCGCTCTTAATGCTCGAGTGAGAAATGATTTTCTCATGAGGAAAATGGTGTTGAAATACAATCTAATAACAAAAGCCGTATTCTTTTTTCTTCTGAAAAAAAAAGAAAAGAAAAAAGAATATTCACCTTCAAACCCAGGCAGGTTAGATTACATCAAGGATTATCAAAATTGAAGGAATTTTACCCAAGGGGTAATGTTAGTCGTATCTTTAAAACATAAGTATAATAATGAAAAAAAAGTTAGTGGATAACAATTAAATATTGGGGGAAAACGGAGCAAAATTAGGAAAGCAAAGGAAGACTTGAGACACTGAGAAACACCGACAGAGATAACAAATTCTATAACTTATATAATCCCACAAAGTTTCCTTCTTTTCATTTTATGTGCCGTGTCCCTTCAGGCCGTAGGCGATCATGGCTCTCCACATCCTCCTAACACTTGTAGCTCTCAATAAGGCCCTGTTCTGTCATCCGCTTGCTTAGCTCGCTAGGTATGCCATACCTTGCTTTTCCTTGTCTCTTTTCCCTTTTATTCGACCTGTGATTCTCCAACCACTCCTTTCTTATTACGTGTCCCAGAAATTTCAACTGCCTCTTCCTGATGTTAAGTATAAGCTTCCTGCTTGTTTGTATCCTCTCCAAAACCTCATCGTTGCTTACACGTTCGGTTCATGATATCCTTAGCATCCTTCTGTAGAACCAATAGTCCGCCGCCTCTTCATCTTTGAGGAGACCGTCTAACAACCGCTAGCGTAAAGGAGGACAGATTTCACGGAGCAACTCAGTACTCTTTTCTTAAATTCCTGTAGTTGGGTCACCAGGAAACTAGGATCGTCGGAGCAGTTGCCATGGGAATATTTGTAGAGGCATGACACGTCATATTAGTGAGAAGTCGAGATGCCAGGTGAAGATCGTTTACATTGCAGATTCTTCTGTGGATTTTGTCAAGAACCTCGAGAGGTACAGCAGGAGCACCAGACCAGATATGGCAACAGTATTCCATAATGGAAGATTTCTAAATGTGCAAGATGGATTCTGACGAGAAAAATTTTCTGGCAGGACACAATGATTCATCTATGTCCCTCGCATATTTAAACCATGTATATCCCTGCGAATTAGGCATTTTGGCCTATTTTAAGCAAAATTGAAATTATCTGTACTGAGAAAACGCGATGTGATGGGAAAAAATGAACTTGATTTTCAGATTCAGCGTGGAAAGATAGTCCAGAAACATGTGCCCATTGCCCAACAATATTTGGATCGAAAAAAGTGCCAACCGTTGTAATGAGGGGGAAGAGAAACGAGTAATCAGGAGGACAGTAGATAGCGATTAAGACTGCATTTAATTTTAAAATTGTTTGGAAAGCATGGGGGTCGGAGAGGGTTCTGCAAGCTAGAATTTCGAGAAAAGAAATTATTAGCATAGAACATACGGCTATATCTCACCAATTTAATTGTAAATTGATGAGACCTTGTTGCCAATTTAGAACTAAGCTTAAATACAGCTGTCAAATCAGGACCTATCATATTGCTGATTCTTTATCAAGGAGCTCAAGGTAAATAGCAGTGGCAGTAGACTATATGTGGCAACAATAATCTAAACATGGGAGAATGGTAGTCTTATAGATATGTAAGTATTTACTCTGTCCCCAACTAGGACGTGATGTGATACAAGGTTTATTTTCAGACCCCGTAACCATCAGTATAATTTCCTCAGTGCCCCTCTGTCCTTTGACAGAGAAGACCCCGAGCGCACTCTGTCCAAAGACAGAAACGCAACTGAGAGATGATAAAGAAACGTGTCCTTACTCAAAAAGATTAAGGTACACATTAGTCTTATAGATATGTATATTAGATTCTGGAGAGAAAAAATGTCTCGCAAGACACAGCTGTCCTACCAGTGAATATAATCTTTCCACTTCATGTCATTATGGGAATAACGTCGAGTATTAGAGAATGGAGAATGGTATAAAATATTCTACAGATTCGATCGTGGTCACATTTGCTGTTGGTATTCCTACAGAATAGTTCTAAACTCTGGTAAATTTGCATAAAAAGGAAGCAAGGACAACATAAATGACAAAACAAGAACTGTTACTTGCAAAAATGAGTAGCATTCCAAAATTAGAGAATAAACATTGTTATTTATATTCTGGAGAAGTTAAAAAAAAGAAAGGAATTTGGAATCATTCCCAGAGGAATATGTCAGCATTTCAATGCAAACAATAACTCCTTCGTTGTCTGCAGAATTGTGTTTTTCAGTTATCTATATGAAAAGCCGCTGCAGATTTGATGACTCCCTGAGGCGTCAGTCTGTCACATTAAAATTCAAAGGATGACGATTTTTCTTATTACAAATGAACTTAATTGATTTAAGAGTGTAATTCCGAGAATGTTAAATTTTTATGATAACGCAGACTTGTTTAAGACTCCTGAAACGCTACAGACTTCTTCAGGGGTTAGCCAATCACGACTCTCCATAACTTCCTATCTTTTTTAACACTAATTAAATCTTCTCTTTTCGCTACCTTTCTTAATTCCTGGCGTTCTACGTATGACGATAAACTACATCCGGCAGCTCGAGAAGTTTTGAGAAGTGTGAAACCACCGGTTTATTCCTGGGTTTCCCAGGTCCACCCTGACCCGAGGTGGTAGCACCCGTTAGGGTTCCAGCTATGGAAAATAGTGAACCCCCAAAGTAAGGTCAAAATACGAACACATTTTTGAAAAAATAATACCAGAATTAGATATTTGAAAAAAAAACAAAACATTAATACATATTCTATTTATAGGAAAAAACATGAATACATATTCTATTTATAGGAACCTATCCTAAAAAAATCTTGTTTGCATTAAATAACTCACTGAGGTCGATATACCGTAAAACAAAATAAATCATAAACCAAATACTAATCCTTGTATGTTTGCTTCTTTGTTTGTTTGCTTAGCGACAAATCAACTCCTTATAGGTGATTTAAAGATTTAATTTTCTTGCAATCATTAGTAATTTCTTTTACAAAACTGTATTGATACTAATTTATTTTTTAACAAAAATGTATTGTATTGTTATTATTATTATTATTACAAAAATGTATTGGTGGTATTTTTACTATAATTTTTTTTTTACTTTCAAAGTTTGGGGTTTCATTATTTAGGTATAACTTGGACCCTAACAGGTGCTACAACCCCGGGTCAGGGTGTACCAGAGAACAACAGCAATTAAGAGGTGATTCCACGCTCCTCGAATCCTCCCGAGCAGATGTTTTGCTGCCACATGTAGTTTATCGTCATACCCTAATGCCTGCTCTGCCAACCATTTACACAAGTTCTGCAGGTTATTCGCTGTTTGCCTTTGAGTGTCAATTTGTCCAAGCCCACTTTCCAATTTATGTGACAGATTGCAGAAAATTACGACATAGGAAAAACAATGTATGACCTACCTAGAGAGCAAGAATGGCGGAACAAGGTTTAGGAGAAATAGCAAAAAAAAGATTAAATTTATTAAGAGCTACAAAGAAAAGGAAATTGTGGAGAGCCACGATCGTCTACATCCTGAATGGACACCACATCGAAGAGGAAGAATGAGCTTGTTTAAATGGATGGCAGAATAAGGTATAGGAAAGAAAAAAAAAGACAAAAACTATTGAGAACTACAAAGGCCGGAAATTGTGGAGAGCCATGATCGACTACGAGCTGAATGGATATGGATCATTGAAGATGAATAAGCTTGTTTAAATGGATGGCTGAATAAGGTTTAGAAGAGAAAACCAAAAAGATAAAATTTATTAAGAGCTCGAAGGAACAGGAAATTGTGGAGAGCCATGATCGCCTACCTCTTGAAGGGACACAGTGGCCAGAAAAAGAAGATTCAGCTTTTGTAAATGGATGGCGCAATAAGGTTTAGGAGAGAAAACAAAAAGATAAAAATTATTAGGAGCACCAAGAGACAGGAAAATGTGGAGAGCCATGATCGCCTACGTCCTGAAGGGACACGGCACATAGAAAAAGAAGACTCGGGATTTGTAAATGGATGGCAGAACAAGGTTTAGGGGAGAAAACAAAAAATATAAAATTTATTAGAGCTACGAAGGAAAGGGAAGTGTGGCGAGCCATGTTCGTCAGCGTCCTGAAGGGACACGGTACAGAGAAGCAGAAATTAACATCGTCAAAGTGTGCTAATATTTGATCGGGGGTTCAGTCTAGGCGATCGATACGAAGACGTTGTACGACCCGATGAATACTGGATAAGAACATATCTTTAACAATGAAAGAAAGTTTAATTTGGTCGATCCTTAGGGCAAGACAGCAGAAAGGTGAGCGACTGATTCCAAATTGTGACAAAGAGATATTAGATTTGGCGACTGTAGAGTAATAGTGCCTGAAATGTTGTCTGGCGCTGCAGCTGGACAGCGATATCAGAGGAAAATGTTGCTTCTATGACACATCGTAGAAGTTGTACTGTTTCTTCTTCTGTGTCAGTCAGGACGCAGGCGATCATGGCCCTTTACATCTTCCTGACCTTTGTAGCTCTTAATGAATGTTGTCTTTTTGTTATTTCTCCCAAACCCTGTTCTGCCATCCATTTGCTCATGCTCATCAAGTATGTTAATCTCTGCTTTCCTCTGTCACTATTACCCTCAATCTGTACTGTGAGTATCAGATTTTCCAAGCCTCCCATCCTCATTACGTGCCCCAATTTCAACTGCCTCTTCCTGATGTTTAGTATGTTAAGCGCTGCTTTCCTCAATCTGTCCTGTGAGTATCAGT